GCAATATGAGAAAAAAGTAGAGAAGGAAATGAAGAAAAAAATGGGAAAAATGCAAAAAAAAAAAAAAACCCAAGAAATGGGGTTACCCACAAGGAAGAAAAGAGAGAGAAAAAAAATTGGAACCAGGAACAGGGAAAAGAAAAAAAGCTGTAAACTAGAACCTGGGAAGGGAAGAATAAGGAATGATAAGAAAAAGGACTAAAGTAAGAATAGTAGTAGTAGTTTTAAAACAGACAAACTAAAACAAGGAAAAAAAAATCTGGGCAGGGCTGGGCAGGGCACTATGGCTCTGTCGTAGCACACAGATTGGGATGGAATTCCTGCCAGCCTAGAAGGTGGGTGGAAGTGGGGGATGGCTGCACCTCCATTCACCAAGAGGGTGTGAGATATAAGAGTAATAAGGGGAATGTTGCACCTTTCCAGTAGTCAGTGCCTCTGGGATGTCTTTGTGGTTCCCAGCAAACGAAGCCTGCTCTTAAGTCCCTGGAATCTGGGAGAATACTCTCTCTTTAAATATCCAAAATGGTCAAACCACTTGTAAACATTCAAAACAGCTGCGCCCTCTGAACAGCCAAAAGTTCACAGCTCAGTCCATTTTCTTCTTCGCTGCTTCCCTTTTTATTCACCAGCCACCAGAGAAGTCCTCCATGCAGTCCCTGGCTAGCAGGGCTGATTTTTAGGTTAATTCTTAGGTCCACTCGGCAATATCCAAGCTGTCTGTGCCATCAGGATCACTGCCAGACCACAGCTCCACATGTCTCCTTTTTTGGTGTTTTTCATGCAAATTCTTCTGCTAGTTGGAGTTTAGTCCACATCTATATCCTTCCCTCCAAGGCTCAGGGGTCCAGAATTATCTTCTGTATCTGTGCTAATTGGTTCCCCTTTTCTTTGTTGAAGAGGGTCTGTGCAGTCTTTCTGCCTATTCCACCATCTTACTGGAATTATTATTTTTTTGATTTTTATTGTGATTTGGGTGAAAGTTTATAGAGCAAATTCACTTTCCATACAGCAGCTCACACACACTTTGTCTCATGATACTTACTACAATTTCCTGCAAATGCAACAGCTCCACTCCTACTTCCTCCCCATAGTTACCTCTTCCCTGTGTCCTTTCCTCCATTCACTCTTGCCCACAGAGCTGTCGCCCAGTACAAACACAGCCCTTCTATTCTCCCATGACTGGCTCCAAATGATGTCATCTATCACTAGAAAAATTTCACTCTTTTTTTCTGCTAGGCAGATAGACTTCAGGGTTCATCATCTTAATTCAATCAGGAACACATCATAATCAAGGCTGCTTTGCAGTTGGGTATGGCTTACTTGCTCTGAGTCACAACTGACTCAATGGCAATGTGTTTCCTTTTTTAATTATTCATTGTGAATTGGGTGCAGTTTTGCAAAGCAGAGTCATTTTGAAATCAACAGTTCATACACATTTTTTTTCACAATATTGATTACAACCCCCATGATGTAAGCTCTCCTTTTATCTCCTTCCTATGGTTAACCCTTTCCTATGTCCTTCTTAGCTATATGTTCCTTCCTGCCTGCCTAGCTTTCTCCCAGAGCAAATGCTGCCCTTCTGATCTACCATAGTTGACTAATGAGTGCATCTCCCTTCAGCTTGTGTACAATCTACAATTTGGCTGAGAGTTGGAGCCATGGGAATGAGTCCAATCCAGGCCTAAAGGGCGACTTGGGGCCATAGTCTCAGGGGTTTTACTAATGTCTATCCAACCAGTAATCTTCTAAAAGAACTCTTTTCTAATTAAAGAATATTTTTTTAATCAAAGTAAACACCCATTAAGGTGAAGGAATATTTATTAATAATATTAGAGAAGGTTTATTTGTTTTCACTTAGTTGAAGTAGCATTGAAAATAAATTAGTAAACCTTAGATCCAAAGATTATCCATTAGGCTACCTGATCCTATTACTAGAACCTTACAATAACCTTGTGGCTATTACTGTCATTGTATTGTAATGCAACAAAAGGAATTGTCTACATTCATGAGGGATAAGATTCAGGATCAGCACAAAGCTGATGAGCTCATGAGGTGGAAGTCAGACTTATCTCTGCTCTCCAACTTCTTCTATTCTTACACCAGTAGTCCACCCCACATCACTGTCTACTTCTCTACTGGATTTGATAATTTATTACAATTGCCACACAGAACTCACAGACCATACTCACAGTTATACAGTTTACTGGGGAACTAACGGGCTACAACTTGGCAATGGGGTCAACTTGTAAATAACAGAAACAACTCAGGATCAGGATCTGAAAGCACATAGTCAAGTCTGGAAGAGTTCTCTGAAGTAAAAAGCACATCTCTCCCTTCTTAAATGCAGGACAGCTTCAGACCACTATAGGTCTCTCAGCTGTTCTCTACTGTCAGGTCTCTCTGCCACCAGGCCTCTCCATTATCAAGAATCTCTGCCAATGGCCTCTCTGCTGTTGGCATTTATACCACTAACTGGCTCAGCTCATTGCTAATGTAGCAGCTTACTTAGATCTGCCATCAGGCTCTCTGCCATTAATGGTTCCAGTTCATAACCAGTATAGCAATTTGCTCAGCCCTCTTAGGGCCTTCTGCCATCAAGCACATCTGCTGCTGGCTCTCCACTGCTAAATAGCCATAGCCAGTGCAGCAGCTTTGAAACTACTTGGTTCCCACGTCACTCTGCTTCTTGGCCAGGTAAGCTCTTAGTCAGCCCTCTCTCTCTCAACTTGGTGGCCTCTCTGACCTTTGCAAGTCAGCCATTAATATATACTGATTCTCCTCAACTGTAAGGCAGAGTCTCCCTCACCGGACCAGAGTTCAACCAATCCTGAATTACCCATGAGATGCCAAAATCAACTCTGGTCATGTTACTTACCAGACAAAAGTATCAAGTTGTTTACAACTTACCCAGGAAATGTCAATCAACAGGAGAAATCCCCTGGACAAAAGAAATACACCCTTTGGGGTAGAAAACAATTTGGGAGCCTCCCCCCAATCCCAAATTGCTTCTTCAAAGAACTAGGGCAAAGATAACAGCTCCTCAAGACTTAGGGGGAAAATCTCCCAAGCTGTTGTTCCAAAGAACTGACTGACAAAGCCACATAAAGGAATTCATTGCACCACATATATGATAAATAATATTATAAAAGAAATGTGTTATTGCCTTATATTTTAAAGCACTTTACAAATTTCAAAGTATTTGCACATCCGTTCTTTGTTTAGTACCTTATACACAGTAGGTCAGTAATACCTGATAAAACGAATCCTCATATTTAATCTATGAAATTTCATAATAATTTTTTAAGCATTCCTCAGAAGTCAAGGAGAATGATGCTTGTCAAGACCACTGAAGTTAAGCTCAGAAACGAAAAGACCTGTATATTAAAAAAATAGCTCTCAATACTCTACCCAGACCAAAAGTAGTTCTTTCCCATTATGAGTATGATTGATGCCACTGTACTATACACTTGAAAATGTTAAAACAGCAAATTTTATATTGTGTATATTATACAATTTAAAAATATTTGTTTCCACTATAGATCAGAAAGCAAAAGCACTGCCTGATTATTTCTAAACCCTAACTTCCTAAAACATCTTAACTGGAAATTCAAGGCTCACATGATGATCAAAGAGCTTACTTTTCAATTTTCTTCTTATGTTCTTTTTGCCTTTGTTGTTCCTTCACTTGTTCTCGCTCAATATCCATGAAAAGTCGTTTATATCTCAGGTACTGCTTTTGACGCTAAAAGAAAGAAGTTATAATTGTTAAGATTCTACTCTACATGACAGAAAAATCACTTAGGAATAAGTCCTTAATTTCTTTCTATTTATAGGGATTCAGGATAATGTTACATATTTAGCAAGAGTTTTATATGTAGCAAGCACATAGCTATTAGGTGTTGTAGACAAACCAGAGAGAAACAAATAAACTAATTTAGCGTGTCCTTAGTATGGGCCCTTGTCAAAAGTACTTGAGGAAATGATAATATATAAGATATATATTAGGAGCTCTGGTAGCATAGTGGCTAAAGCACTTGACTGCTAACCAGAAGGCTGG